TGAATTTATAGCTGATAAAATTTCCTCGAATACGGGATGTGCCACGCACTCTTTTACAAACTCGGTTATATAAACCCTCGTGAAATCACCTACCATTGATATGTCCGCATACCACATTTCAAGTTCGTGTGACTAATGGTTCCGAAGTTACAGCTGATAAAATATTCCACGCCTATGGGATGTGCCACCTTTTACTTGTTTATATATACCCTTCTATAAGCACCTACCATTGATATATCTGCATACCTAATTTCAAGTTCTTGGGACTTATGGTTCCGGCGTTATAGCTGATAAAAAATTCCACGCCTATGGGATGTGCCACGCCTCCTTTTGCAAACTCGTTTATATATACCCTCCTATGAGCACCTACCATTGATATGTCTGCATACCAAATTTCAAGATCGTGTGACTTATGGTTCCGAAGTTAAAGCTGATAAACAATTCCACGCATATGGGATGTGCCACGCCCCCTTTTACAAACTCGTTTATATACACCGGCCTATAAGCATCTACCATTGACATGTCTGCATACCAAGTTTCAAGTTCATGTGACTTATGGTCAGGAAGTTATGGCTGATTAAAAATTTCACGCCTATGGGAGGTGCCACGCCCCCTTGTCGGATCCCAATTTTTTTACCCTATTATAGACTCAGGTGTCATGGCAATACTCTGTCAAAATTTTGTTAGATTCTGTTCGTCCGTTTAGACTGCAACCTGCCACATACTTACATACATACATACTTTCACAAATATATACTAGATATATCCTTCTCTTAGCGTAAAATAATTTTTGGGGATGTCTCGGCCACAGGGCCACCTATCGTGTAAGTTCCAAGTCCAAATATTTCTTTTAAATTGGCTAAATTGTTTTCTAAATATGAGCCAAATCAGCAAGTAAATAAAATTTTTATGAATATCCCGACCCCAGCGCCACCTAGCGATTAAATTTTTAGTCGAAATATTTCTCTTCAAAGTGCTGAAATATGTTCCAAATATGAACGAAATCGGTCCAGCCGTTTAGTAGTTTAGTGACATTCAATATACGGAAAACTCTATGAAATTGTTAAATCGTGGCGTCTCAGGTTTCTTCATTCATCAAAGTTGCCAAACGGAGAAAGTTTCGATTCGAGTCGAAATGCAGAACAGGGCTGAATATTGATATATCAAAGTGAATTACGTAATTTATGTGCTATTTAGCTGTATAAAAACTGCAAAATGATTCAAAATTGAAATAAGACTACTATGAGATTGATGTAAACATCAAAAACAGTTTATGTTTTCATCAGTTAAATATGCCTCATGTGCGTATACAAATAAACATATTGCACAAAAGCTGATACTTCTATTTCACACCAAAGCTACACTGTTTCCATGCAAATTAGCAAAGAAGCAACACGCGCCACTGCGAAGGGAGCGGTGCGAGAGGGACAACTGTCAGTTTATCGAACCTTGTATTATTGATTCATGGTCAAATGCATGTGCAGCGATAGCGTTGTCCATCTTTTTTAATTTTACTGCACGTAGATGTTCTATTCGTGCACGTAGCGACCTCCTTGTCTGCCCAATATATTTGCAGTTGCAATACGAACAGGTTACTTCGTAGACTCCGCTCTGTTCTTCCGTCGGCAATTTGTCTTTGGTTGAACCAAGCGCATTTCTAAGTTTGTTGTTGTTTGTGTAAACTACTTGCAGATTACATTTTTGGAAGCCGTTCTTCAATGTATTTGTGATGGCGGGAACGCAGGGCAATGAAACACGCTGTAGTTGAGACGACTTTGCGGTGTGAGTTTGTGAGAAAAGCGTGCTCTCCTTGTTCCGTCTTATTTGATTGGAGTGTTTACTTATCAGCTGATCGATGTGTTTTATTTGTTTGTATTCTTTCATATAGTCTTGTGCAGACAATGGCAAGGAACAGAGTCTGTAAACCATTGAATTAAATGAGGACAGTTTTTGCTGATATGTGCAATAGGAGTCATTTGTAATGTATCGGGTGGTCGATGTTGACTTCCGATAAATGCCGAATTCAAGTTTCTTTCCTTTTCGCTTAATAAGAATATCAAGAAAAGGAAGAGAAATTGTTTTTTCGTCTTCCTTTTCAAAAGTGAATTTGATACTCGGATAGCGGCTGTTAAGTGTTCCGAGTATTTTATCTACGTCGGATATTTTCACTATGGCGAAAGTATCGTCCACATATCTATGCCAAATTCGTGGCAAAACACCTTCATTGAACTTATCGTCAGGTATACTGAACTTATTCAAGTGGTTTTCAATTGCTTCAATGGCCGTATCGACTGGAATCGACGGAAAAAGTGCTTCAACATCAAAGGAAATCATTATTTCATCTTTTTCAATTTCAATGTCGCGCACTTTGTCTACAAAATCCAATGAATTTTTTACAGAGTAACCATCGAAGGAACCAAATCTCTTTAAGTCTTTCACTAACCAGCGGGCAATATTTGAAAGGGGTGAATTTATGTTCGACACGATTTTCCGCATTTTGCTTCTATTTTTATGAACTTTTGGGAGTCCATACATCAAAGGATCGGAGGGATTTGAAACAATTAAATGGTATTTGTTTACACCAAAGGCCTGGCAAATAGAGTCCGTAGCGATTTTGGCATTTTTTTCCATGGCGTTAAGCGGTGATTTACTGGAAACGGAGAAATTGTCTTCTTGAATTGATTCCTTCATTCTTTTGTAATACTCCTGCTTATCCATTATTACTACTTGGAAGCTCGTCCGCTTCCTTCCTTGAACGGAGTGGGAGATATGGCACTGGGTAGTTCCTGGGCTTACGGGGTGAGGTTGGCAAAGAGCAGCTGTAGAAGAAGTGAGGCGGCGATCGGCGAACGGATGCAGGCGGCAATGTCGGGCGCCGGCGATGGCTCAGCGGAGGATCTGGGGATGGCTTTGAACGCGTTGGTCTCGAAGCAGGAACTGCGTTTACACGTACTGCGCGATCTAAATTATTAAGTCACACTTAATACCGATCGCGGCTGTCAAACAGAACTGCGCAAGCGAAAAGAAGAAAACTACCAAACCGGACTTTAATTACAAATGAAATGCGTTTATTAACTTCGATCTACTAATTATTTCACAATTTTTGTTCGTATTTGCTACAATAAGCAATTTTAGAGCGGGCGTATACCGAAAGCGAATGCAATAAGTTCAGGTGCAAAAAAGAGAATTAAAATGTCAAAACCATATAGAGATGTGCATGTAAAGTAGCGAGCATGGTAGCGAGCTAACAACGCCTGCGTTGCCACCCGCAAACACACTCATCATTACATAGCGTTTAGACTGTCAACAGGTTACAAATTCAATACAAATTCAAGAATAGAAACGGTTCAATACAAGCGTATACTAAGGTTGCTCGCGTTGGTATAGCCACAAATTTAAGATACGCTAATATAAAAAATTCATTAAATATATATAATCCAACAATTGAGCGACGTGAAGGTTAATTGTTATAGAAGGTAAGTTACTATAAAAATTCATTCAATATACGTATACATGGAATCCAACGATTGAGTGACGGCGAAGTTAGGTGTTATCAAACCGGCCGCAGTGCTCGCTTGCACATTCTGCCGGCCCTAGCCGCGTTAAGCGGATAGTGCTTCTTTCAGCTCCTGGAGAGTTCTGAGCGCCTTATGCACTAGTAATTTGGTGACCTTGCCTCGATATGTTGCTGTTTGCAGTCCATTTGCCGTTTGTCTGATTTTACGGTTCGCCACGTTCGTAGCCGTTGAAGGGTGCTTGTTGCGAGTTGGGGTGCGCCCTGATCCCCCACGTTGGGAAGCATGTCGCATCGGCGGCACAAGTCGTTTGGGGTTCGGCGACGCGGCGTGCGAGCTAGCGCGGCAACCTGCCGAGGTACTGTTTCGGTGCAAGAGGGTGTGGTGCTGTAGCGAGCAAACTCTACATTTACCCGCCGATGTGCATTCGAACGTGGCATGAGATAGCGCCAAGCAATTTGTGCAATAGTGATGCGCCCTGGCTAACAAGAAGCGTTGCTGCGGCTGCATGGCTACAAACATAGGGCACCTTCGTAGTGAATGGTGGCGGGTGCACACACGGCATCGTTGGTAGTCTTCGGCAGTGCGTTGAGTGTTTGAAGATTGGTCGTCCTCCGAAGCAGGACATTTGGACTCGATTGGAGCACTCTAAATGGGTCAAAGTGGGATTTTTCAAAATTTGCCCCTACCCAAAAGTTCGACCCAAATTGGGGGACATCAGAATTCGTTTTAGAGGTATGGTTCCTTCGGCAAAGTTTCTTATTTTGATCCCTAGAATACGATTTTCACAGAGCACGATTTTTAAATCGACCCGCCCTAATATGTATATACCTCTATATTGGCAGTAAGCTAACTTCTCAATGTGTAAGCATTCCGAATTCAAAGCGAGACAGTCTGGTACCGTTTTTGTCAATGTATCATGTACTTGAGTGCCGTTTTTGTATATGGGTTGTGTACATGTTTATTTATAAACGTATGTGTTCCTTTTCTTTCGTACGTGTTTACTGATATATCTGTACTGTAGTGTTTTCGGACGGTACTAGCTCTTACTGCCAATATAGGAGTATTACATATATGTATTCACCAAGTTGAGCAAGTGGCCTGGCACTCTGACAAAACAGCAGATAACTCAAGCAACAACTATTGCCAGAGTTCCAGACCACCTGCTCAATTTGTGAATATCCCTTAGGTTTCAACCAATAATTATGCCCCTTTGCAAAGGACGGAGGCTATCGGAAAAGCCAAATACCAATGAAAATAAGAGGATGATTCCCGGTACATTATTTGGCTACGTTTTAATTGCACCTAAAATAGTGTGCTTGTATCGAATATACGGTTTAATGTCGTAGCCATTTCAAAATTTAACAATCTGTAATGAAGTTCATTGTCAAGACTTTACTATTTATACGTCTCCGTAGAGCAAAGTCTATATAGCTTGCTAAATAGAGCGTAGAGTTGTCGTAGAGTTTTCGATCTAGACTCACATAGACTTTGTAGGTGAGTCTCTCGTAGAGCTCTATTGATTGTTTACACGTCTCTAGCGAGATTTTTGTCTAAATCTCGCGTTTTTTCTCTACCGTGTACACTTAGCTTTAAAGTCTTGAATACTCCAAAGGCCGCCTGATCGAATATTCGTATTGTTTAAATTTCTGCGCCATACACCAGCTCGGGCTGAGTGACTTATAGAGTGTGGTTTTTGTGCGTGGTGGAACTTTTCTCCCGAATCGCCTATTCAGTCCAAACGAAGAACAGACTTCGAGGTTTTTGTTACCGATGATGTCGATGTCATCGGCATGGGATTTTTTAAACAGCTTTCATAGGATATTTTTACGTTATGCTTTTTAGTATTTTTTCATTTGTATTAGTACTTCTTTATTAATTTTTTTCATTGCGTAATTTGTATACAAACTCTTCGTTGATAATATGATCACTTCGTTTGAAGATATGTTGCAAACTCTTTTTTAACCGACTTCCAAAAGGAGGAGGTTATCGGTTCGTCGGAATATTTTTTTTTATGTATGTTACCGCATAACTTTGGACCACGTCAACCGATTTCGATAATTCTTTTTGCATCGGAAAGGTAGTGTCTCAGAGATGGTTCCAAACTAATCCGATAATTGGATCATGAAATATATATATATATATATATATATTGTTTTTAAGTCGGTTTTTTTGCTAAAAATTACTTCTTAATTTGAACTGTTCGGCTTTTGGATAAGTGGAAAAATTTAGAAAAATGTATCTAGTAAAGCTTTCCAAACACTATGCGTTTGGAACCAACTATGTAATTTTTCATTTAATTTCGATATTTTTAGTCTTTACTTTTAGATATAAGTAATCTTATTGAAAATATTTCCAAATCAAGATTTCTAAAATACCTATCGTTTAGTACCCATATTGTAACATTTCATTTATTTTATCAATTTACTGAGTTAAATTTTCAAACAGGTTGCAACCCTCGTCAAACATATTTTCGGCTGTACATCTTCTTAAAACTCTTTAGTTTGATTTCATTTATTTAATTACTTTAACTAAATTAAAATTTTCAAAGAACTGGCAACCCTCAAAAGTATTTTCAATAGTCATATTTCTCAAACCTCTTTAAAATTATACCTTCATTGTAATATGTAATGTATCAAGTAAATTTAGTTAAATTTCAAACAGGTGGCAACCCTCCTCAGGCAGTAAGCCTTCTTAAATATATAAAGCTTGATACCTACATTGCAATATTTCACTTATTTTATCAATTGAACTGAGTTAAAATTTTCAAATAGGTGGCAATTTTCAAAACTGTTTCCAGCAGTTATCTCTCTTAAACCTCTCTAATTTAAGATCTATGTTGCAGTATATCATTTATTTGATCAATTAAATTTAGATACCCACATTGCAATATTTCATTTATTTCATCAAATTAGCTGAGTTAAATTTGTCCAATAGGCGCTAACATTCCCTAAAATATTTCCAACGGATATCTTTCTCAAACCTCTTAGTTTGTTACCCATATTCTAATATAAAATTTATTTTATAAATTTAATTGAGTAAAAATTTTGAACTGGTGGCAATCCTCCTCAAAAATACTTTTCACTGCAAGCCCACCTAAACTCTTCAGTTTAATACCCACATTGCAATATTTCATTTATTTCATCAATTTGACTGAATTCAAATTTTCAATTAGGTGGCAGTCCTCCTAAAAAATCTTTTCAACAGTTATCTTTCTTAAGCTTCTTTATCAATTTAACTTAGTCCAAGTTTGTAAATAGGTGGCAACCCTCCCAAAAAAATTTTTAGCAGGAAACGTTCTTAAACCTTATTAATTTGATACCCATATTGTAATATTTCATTTATTTTATAAATTTAATTGAATTTAACATTTCACACGACCCCCCAAATTTTTGCATCATAAATGATCCTGGTATTACAGCGAACAATCCAGAAAAAAAATATTTAAATCTATTCAGCCGTTCTCCAGTTTTGAGGCCAACAACACAACATTTTTATATATATGTATAGATAGAAGATGGGAGGTGCCACGCTCTCTTTTCCAATACCGCCCGTTTTTCTCCATGAGTATGGTGTTATTTCATATATCTCTATACCTATTTCCGGTACTCTACCACAAATATTTCAAGAGATATACAACATGAAAATTTTAGTTAGTATGGGAGGTGCCACACCCTCATTTCCGAATTCGGGCAAACTTCACACAAACCATCTGCATGGCAGCGCAAATATGCCATACACATTTGGTTGAATTCAGTGAAGCCGTTCACAAGTTATAAGCTAACACCAAAAACGTGCACTTATTTTTATATATAAGATAGAGGTGTCACGCCCCTTATCCAAATTTGTGCGAACTTCACATAAATTATCTGCATCATGGCCCGAATGTGCTATATAAATTTAGTTAAATTCGATGAAGCCGTTCTCAAGTTATAAGCTAAAACACTTATTTTTATATATGTATAAAATTAGAGGTGCCACGCCCCTTTTTCCGAATTCAGGAAAACTTCACATAAACTATCTACAAGATGGCCCGAATATTCCGTATAAATTTTGTTCAATTTGGTGAAGCCGTTCTCAAGTTATAAGGCAAAACCAAAAACGTGCACTTATTTTTATATTCTAGTTAGTATGGGTGGTGCCACGACCCATTTTCCGAATTCGGGCAAACTTTACATAAACCATCTGCATAATACCCCGAAT